AATATTTTGTTTTTTTATTTTTATTTATAATTTGATTTTTTTTTATTTTTAAAAAATTAATTAATTATTTGTAATTATTTTTTTAATAGGAAAAAAACATTTCCAAGCAAAATCCTCGTAAAATATTCCAAGTAATATCCTCGTAAAAAGTTCTAGTTATTTCCTCGTAATGTTTCACTACGACCTTAAGAGGAAATGTTTACTACGCGCTTACGAGGAAAGCTTCCGAGGACCTTACGAGGAAAATATTACCACGCCTTTACGAGGAAAGCTTTCCTCGTAAATTCGCTACGACCTTACGAGGAAAATGGCTTTACGATGAACGTGTTTCGAGGAAACGCGTTTCCTCGTAAGTTCCTAGTAAAAGGCCATTTACTAGGAACTAACGAGGAAAACCCGTCCTAATAATGTACGAGTTTTCTTGTAGTGACTTGATGAACAATTCCAGATCCTGGAATTACAACAAGAATGTTGTCAAATGCATTCGAACCCCACTTAAGAAAAGCAAATCGTTCTTTGTTACGCTGGAACTCGAGCTCCATTTTGCCTGCACAACATTCTCGGATCTCACCACAACCATTTGAACGGAGTGATCACAAGATCAACAGAAACTTGCTTGTATCAAGACTATGAATAAAATCATGGAGCATATTAGATGGACAGTATAATATCAACCAATATCAATCCACAAACCAGAGGATTAATATTATTAGAATCACCAGCGAGAAGTATCTTAATGGAATAATTTTTAAAACAATACTAGATTTTGATCCGCGCTTGAGAAGCACATGTTTTGTTTTAGTTGTAACAAAATATATCAAATGATTCGATTTCTATTATATGATAGTTTTATATATGAAATTTGATGTATATTTAAACTTTTAGTAGAGTCTTTTCAATGAGTTTTGCATAACCGAGTTAGTTTTTGGTTGAACCGAAAATATGAAAATTAAGTGTTGTGAGAGTATGAAGAATTAATATATATATATATATATTATATTGAAACAAAAATTGGATGGGTCCATGACACATAGTAAATTTGAAAAATCAACATTATTGAAAAGGCTTGAAACCAAAGTTGGTTGGATTTCTAACGGTTTTGGAATGTGGATAAACCTTCTTGTTATTACACCTTAAACAACCAAAATAATACCATCCACAATCTGTATCAATGGCATAGATTGTCGCAACAACCCTACATAGTTTTTCCTAAAAAAACAATAAATCCATAAATAAACAATCAAAGAGATGCCAACTTCCATATTAGTATAGTTTTTGAAAATGCAATACCTCAGGTGTTTCAAGTAACTCCTGAAGCTTTTGCATCCATTTATCTCGCTTTATCTGCAACTCAAGCTTGTTCTCATTTGATTCAGTAAGGGTTAACGCTTGAGAATCATCATTACATCTTCAATTATAAATAAGTTTTATAATTTAATATATACTATTATAGAGTGAAAACATTTTTATTGAAGTTGATAAATACTGTTATTTAAATTCATCTACCTCTGGTATATCAGGAGTAACAAACATCTCTGGGTTGCGCGTCAAACCCGCCCCGCTGACCCGCGGGTTTTAATTTTTTTTTTGTCAAAAAATCCAACCCGCACAACCCGCGAATGTATAAATTTATATCCGCACCCTCCCCGCTTAATTTTGCGGGTAACCCACAGAACCCACAGGTTATATTTTTTTAAGAAAATAATTATTATTTTTTTTAAAAATGATAAAATAATATATTTAAAATAAAAATATATATTTTTAAAAAATTTAATTTTTATTTTTTTTAAATCACTGTATTTTTAAAAATATATATTTATTTTTACAAAAAACACTTTTGCTAATAAAAAAACAATTTAAAAAAAAAAGAAAAAAAAAAATTGTGGGTTGGCGGGTACCCGCGATTCAAAATCCACCAACCCGCACCCGCCTCGCATAAAATACTCATAACCCTCACCCGCACCCGCCCCGCATAAAATACTCATAACCCTCACCCGCACCCGTCAATCAATTTTTTTAAATTGTTGGACCCATACCCGCCCTGCATCGGGTCAAACGGGGCGGGACCTGCGGGTGATGACTCATATTCCCAACCATACTTACATCATAAGCATTTGAGATTTGGACCTCACCTATAACCAAAAATAAATCATAAGCATTTGAATAATTTCTTCTGACATAAAACAGAAAAATGAAGGAATGATCAAAACATTGAGTTAGTAGAAACATATTTTCAACTATATAAACAATGGTTATTTAGTACAAAATCGAAACAGAAGTTTTCATTTTCAAGGAATACCTCTATATTGCCCAATCTAGCAAATCGTAGAAGACATATCACCATGCCTTCTGTTTCTTGGCTAGCTGTATGAAGATTCTCAGCAAATTTACCCCAAAGATAGCAAGATACTCTCTAACCACTCATAGAATAACATATCAAGTTATAAATCAATATGTTTATAGACCTATATTTTTTATATTAAATATATAAAAGTTACGAAATGAAGATATCTAAATCATAAATCTATATAAAACATATTCTTACATTTGCATCACAAAGAATTAGTTCTATGGTCTCCTTTATGTCTTTCATGAAATTTGTCTCCATGGTTAACTCATCGTTATGAAGATATCTAAATCATAAATCTATATTCGCCATTTTTGTTTTAGGTTTTTCAAATAATGATGAATATAGTGGTTAAGAGAGACTATATTTATAATAGGTAGGGAGGATATACATTTAGGTTACACAAATGTAGGGCATAATATTTAGACGATTTTTTAAAAATATCTCTTTCGAGGAACAAAGAATATTTCTTGAAGATATTTTGAATTAGATAGAAAGTTTAAAGTTTAACAGTTAATGGTAATCCAACTACGGTAAGTTACCGAAATTTATGGAATCCAAACAAAGAATAACTAACCACGATATTGATTGTGGTTAATCTTTATACTTGTAGATGAAGAAATTCATTTGTTTTAGTACGAAGATAGTTATAGAAAATAGTTTTTGCAATATTTTCGTAACAAAACGTATCTCATCCATTAAATGTCACCATGAGAATGATGATATATCGACATATTTGATATCACTATATGTCGTCTAACTATGGTTTATAAATACGCGTAAATTTAGTGAGACATGAAAACATATTTCATATATGAAGAAAAAACATGAAATGAAGGACATTTGGATGGATTTTCCATTCCCAAATGTATTAAAATTGAGAAAAACATGAAATGAAGGATATTTGAATGGATTCTCCATTCTCAAATGTCTTGAAATGGTTTTGAGGTATGAAATAAATGATAGAAGTAGTGAGACATATTAAAAATGTTTGATATAGGAAGAGAACTCATGAAAATGTCGATATAGACAATATATTATATAATACATTAACAAATGTCTACAACTATAACAAAATCTTAATATATGTAATATAAAGAATAGTATGAGTTTATAAAATATAGTCTTTGAAATATAATGTGTAGTACAACTATATGAAAATCTTAATATATGAAATATAGCATCATATAATGGTTAGAGTAATATGAGTTTATAAAGTATAGTCTTTGAAATATAACGTGTAGTACAATTACATGAAAATATTAATATATGAAATATAGCATTATATCATAGTTAGAGTAATATGAATCTATAAAGTCGATATATGATGCATATACCAAACAATGTCAACCAAATAATTATAATGTTGAAAATCTACAGATTGAAATCGTATAATATAAGGTCTATAACACAATATAAATATATGAAATATAGTATGTAATATGGTTAGAGTAATTAATGGGAAGAGGGAGAATAAATCGGGTATATGTAATATGTGATATGAGTTGTAACAAATCGATATATATATAGATGTAAGCCTGAAAAATAAATTACCATTAATAAAGGTGCAGACAACTTCCATCAGTCGATTTTTCAAGGGTGCCTTTACTTTTAATAGTATAGATAGTTGGAATACAAAACCCAAAAGAAATATCTCGTATCCAGTGGCAGATTTAGAATTATTTTTTTACTTGGGTCATAGACTAAATAAATACTTAATGTATAATAGAACAACTCGCTTTTAGGTCTTATCATATCCTCACCATTTAGCATGTCCACGTCGGATTGAATATTCAGACCAAACAGAAGATAGTATTTTGCCATGTCACAATAACTTTGTCGACTAAATAGACTTTTTATGTGGTCTCAAAAAAATTAAATTTTGGCCCATGTAAAAGCCAGCTGTTAAAGACCTAATGTCCTAAGCATCTAGCAATACGAAGACCAAAGACGCTAATCGACTTCTTCACTTCTCTTCGTCTTTCCAGAAATCTTATTTGCGTCTTCCCAGAAAATAAAAACCCTATCGTCTTTGCGTCTCACCTCCGTCTTCTACATCTCCTTTTCCTGTAATTGTTATTACAGATCTCCTCCTCATCAATCCATGATACTCTTTTCACCTCCTCTTCATTCTCGTCCTAATATAATCTACTCCGTCTACCAATTCACATTTGTCACTGAATTGTGCTACGTATTTAGGGCTGTAATTTACTTGATGTGGCCCATTCGCAGAAAAAGCCATCTCCCAGCCCAAAAAAAACATCTGACCAAAGACGCTAATCGACTTCTTCACTTCTCTTCGTCTTCCCAAAAATCGTCTTTGAGTCTTCCCAGAAAATAAAAACCATATCGTCTTTGCGTCTCACCGTAAGACCATAAGATGGTAAACGATTTGAAACTGTAACTGTCTGAGAGTATTGTTTTGCATAAGTCGGTATATTGCATTTTTATGGGTTTCTTGATAAGATCAAAAGCCTTTAAATAGTGATTGTGCCAAGCTTTGTGTTAGAAACTGTTAAGTCACTAACTTAGGTGTGATTGATGCTGTCGTTATTTCATTACGAGAGTTGGGAGTCATGATGCTGATGGCTGGATTTGGAATATTTTATGATTGATGCTGTCGTTATTTTACTTTTGTTTTCAGGAAGCTAATATGGCCAAAGTGCACCAGCTTGATAATCTCAAACAAAAGCATGATGAGGATAAAGCACATGTGAGGCTACACTGCTTTGGGTCTGTGCTTATTAATTGCATATTGTACTTGATGTATGTACGTATCTTATATGTTTTTGTGCTAATATTACACAACTTTGACTTTTCTTCAGCGAAACTTGGGAAGATGGGGAAGATGCGAGTACATCTCTAGAAGGCATTGAGAAGATGCAATCTCTAAAGTCAATTGATAACTATAAGGCAAGTGATATTTTCCTACCAGTTTCTTTTTGAAATCTGCTACACACTGCTCATTCATCTTGCTAAACAATGATCATCTTCCTAATTACACAGCTGGTGAAGCCATCACACATCCAAGGGACTGTAAATATGCTATTTCCTCAGATCATTTTGCGTGTTTGAGATTTATAACAATCGCTTAAAGTGCAGGTAACTGCATTGTTATATAAAATCTTAAATGAGCTATAATATATTTTGTGAAATAAAAGCCAGCCATGTGGATATTGAAGTTTAGGTCAATCGATATTAGTCGATTAGACATGGAGGCAGAGACCTATGCAACACCATTAACAACCTGTGCGTAATTTTTTTCTCTCTTAAATGACAGGAGAAGTACGAAGACTACTTGAAAAGCTCAAATCAAGAGTTATCCTACAACATTCACAACGGTATTTAGCGTGATTTATTACACATTTTGAAAAGAAATGCTTACTTCAAGTCTCCAGCTACTTAAATCTTCTGTCTTTAAGCATTTTCTAGGTGAGTCGGTATGGGAGTGGATGAGCTTGAGCAGCTAGAACTTCAATTAGATACATCACTAAGGCAAATAAGATCTGCAAAGGTATCAAAGAGGCCTTCAACACGTTCCAAAAATGTTATGCATGTTATCTCTTTCTAAATGCAACTCTGGGACACACTTTTTTTACAAGGAGATGGTGGCAAGTGAGAGCTTATAACTTGATGAGTAAGGACCTTAATTTTAATGCATTGAACTGAACCGGAAACTGGAAACTGGACACTTTTCAGCTGCAGAGTTGAACACCTATGTTCTGGAGCCAACCCCACTGGTGCATTTTTCTTATTTATCATCTACTCATGTTTCTTTATACTTGAGACATTAAAGTCATGTACCTCATTCACACGCAGAATAATGAGTTTCTATGCAAAGCCCAACTTTTCTATTGAAACTACAAACGGATGGTGCTACATCTCGAGTTGATTGCCGTAAGAGGCACATTTTGAGTTTTGTTAACATGGGAAAACACATTGTGCATGTGGGCATATTTTTTTGGATGTAGTGGTGGTGTTTCTCATTTTTTCCCTTAATGAGGCGAGAGATGATATGTCTCTGGTTTGTGAAACCGGTTTGCAACTCATCTGCTCGGTTCGAACAATAAAGTTTGTTTGATTTGTAGTTTTGTCTTGCACCGTGGGATTGTATAAAGCACTTTTAGATCCTGCGGCTGTGATTTGAGCAGAGTTTTGTGAGCGTTGGGGCTGATAAGGACGTGAATTTAATGCAAAGGTGTGTTCGTCTTTGGGGAACAAGACAGAGAGGAACTAATCCAGAGCAGAGGAGGCAAACTAGGTTATTTTTTTGTTTTTTCCGAATCGTTGTTGCAATACTTAGTAACGGTCTAACTTTTTTAAGCGTGTTTGCAGTTGCAAATGGAGGAGCAGTGTCTTGTGATTTGTGGGGACTGGGTTTGTGGTCAGGGTAGCAGATGGGATTTTGTTGTCGACAAGCGGCAGATGGGTCGTCTAGTTCCAGTCTCGGATAGTGTTACAGTGAAAGAGCTTGAAGGCGTTGTTTTGAAAGAGTTTGGTAAGGAAGAAATCTCATGGGGAGCTGTTCTTAGTTACTGGCCGCCTAGTAGCATGGAGCTTGCCACTGGGATTCGAACACCACCAGTTCAGCTTACAAGTGATGGATCTATCAATTATTTCGTGCAGCACTTAAGGGTGAAAGGGTCTATGAATTCGTTTGTTAGGTTTGAACAAAAGATTTCAACGGTTGATTCTGTTGACGATAGTGGTATGGGTTTCGTAACGCCGGTTGCCTTTCCTCCCAAATGTTCATCCACCATCGCCTCTGTTGTTTCTAACGGTGTCCATATTTCGACGGTTGGTTCAAAGGCTAAAGGTGTCAACTCTGTCAATGTGGAGTTCATGACAGAGGTGGAGAGAGTTGAATCGAAGTATAACAGCGGCCAAAAACTTGGGAAAGATAAAGTTTTTAGAGGGAGTAGTGGTGGTGAGGGGAGCAAAGTGTTCCTAAAATGGTTGACGGAGAAGTGTATAGCGAGAGCAGTGAAGGGGAGGAGGAGCTGAGTGAAAGGGTCGTGGACGAGGTAGATGTTCGACCACGAGGCTATGACAAAGAATTCTGGCAACCGTTACTGGACACAGACTATCTTGGATCCAATGCTGTGAATGTCATATACAACGAGGACGAGATTGTAGATGGTTTGACAAGGGGTAGTGGAGGTCGCCGTTACAAATGTACCACCAATGATGCATTTGACCATGTTTTTGAGGTTGGGGGATCTAGCAGTGGCGTTAAGCTCCGGAAAGATGAAGACTTTCGTAGACAAAACCCGTGGCTGAATGGTGTGGATGGTAATGTAAGTGTGGACAGGACGCATCGTGTGTCCACAAAGAAATTGGAAGAAGTCGATGACGAGGAATTCGACATCCCTCCACTCTTTGATGATGTTACGTACGCTGCAGCAGAGATACCTGACATGGACTTGGATGAGAGGGATGGGAGGATATATGTTGGGAAGGTGTTTGGCAACAAGGAAGATTGTCAAATATCTTTGGCAATATATGCTATTAAGAACCAGTTTCAGTTCAAGCAGACAAGAACAAAGGTTGATTCTTTTGTTGTTGAATGTCCAGATAAGCATTGTGATTGGCGAGTCACAGCTCACGAAATCAGGGGGTGTGGGTATTATGAGATTAGGAAAGCTCAACTGGATCATCGATGCCCCATTGATTGGAGACAGGGTTATAAGAGCAAAGTTACATCTAAGGTTATTGCTGCTGTGTACAAGTCTAAGTTTGGTGAGGCTGGTAAAGGGCCTAAGGCGTCTAAGTTACAAAAACTAGTGCTGGAAGATCTACGAGTGACAACATTTTACATGAAGTGTTATAGGGCAAAAGAGCAAGCAGTGATGGGGGTCCATGGGTCGGAGGAAGACTCGTACTTGAAGCTCCCTGAGTATTTACACATGTTGAAACTTGCTAATCCAGGGACTGTTGCTGATTCGGAGACTGATGTAGATGAAGATGGGGATGAGAGATTTGTTTATTTATTCCTAGCGTTTGGGGCATCGATTGCTGGGTTTAATAAGCTACGTCGTGTGCTGGTGATAGATGGTACACATTTGGGAGGGAAGTACAAAGGAGTGCTACTTACTGCAAGCGGACAGGATGAGAATTTCCAGATTTTTCCCCTGCCTTTTGCTGTTGTGGACAGTGAGGACACTGAGGCGTGGACGTGGTTTCTCCAGAAAGTTGAGCGCATATTGGCTGATTCCCCTACTCTGGCTATTATATCTGACCGTGCTACATCAATCTCTAATGCTGTGAAACGTGTTTATCCATCTGCTCACCATGGTGCTTGCATTGTTCATTTGGCAAGAAATGTGAACTCGCGTTATTCTAGCAAGAACTTGGATAAGATTGTTACTGAAGCTGCAACTTCTTACAGGTTACATGATTACAGAGAGAATTTCAGTAAGGTTCGGGCAACGAACAGTGCTTGCGGTGTGTACTTGGGAAAAATCGGTTTTGGTCATTGGTCAAGGGCGAATTTTGCGGGGGAGTGTTATAATATTATGACTAGCAACATAGCTGAGCAGCTAAATAATGCATTGGTTGAAGGTAGGTTGTCGCCAATAATGGAATTGGTAATCTTCATTCAAAGGATGATGACTAGGTGGTTCTGTGCAAGGAGAAAGAAAGCAGAGAAGCATAGGGGTGTAGTTAGCGTTGAGGTGGATAAAGAGATGACTAAGAACATGGCAACAATGAAAGGTAGCAAAGTGAACTCTGTTTCTAATTGGACATGCGAAATTGTTGGAAAGTGTGGAAGTAAGGAGCGTGTGATGCTTGCTGAAAAGAAGTGTGATTGCAAGTATTTTGATAGGATACAAATTCCTTGTGGCCATGCTATGATTGCTGCAGACAGTTTGAGCTTGACATATGAGCCATTGGTGGGTCAGTGGTACAAAACCACAACTTGGAGGGAGACATATGCTGGTGTAATTAGTCCGGAGGGTGATCCAAAAGACGTGGACGTTCCGGAAGACGTGAAGAAGATGGTGTTGATGCCGCCATTGACGTCGAGGCCAGCAGGTCGTCGTAGGAAGAACCGAATGGCCTCCACTGGTGAATTCACGGTAAGTGGAGGCTTATATTTGTGTGTTTAATTATGGTGTTACCATATTTTTTATGTTTAAAAAGTAAACTAATAGGTTGTTTAATTAACATAATAAAGGTACCTAAGAAGAAGAAGCTAATTCCTAATAGATGTGGGAGATGCGGTGGAACAGGTCACAACAGGACTCGTTGCACAGAGCCCATATAGGGAGTTCATATTGAAGGAGACCACCTGATCATGTTTTAGTGGTTATTTTCGGATAAGTTTTTTATTACTGAGACGTTAGTAATTAAGACGATGAGTTCTAAGGTTACTTAAGTTGTTTTCATTGTTTGGGATTATTATTATCTTTTGAGAGTCCTTTGAAAATTGAACTCTTTTAATTTCCTCAATTGTTATCTTTGGATTAATTGATTGAAATTGTGTTTGGGAAGTAATCTATCAGGCGAAGGAGGTTTTTGACTTGTGGATGATGTATGTTAGGTCATTTGTTGGCTTTGAGAATCTGTAATCACTAAGTTCGAATTCTTTAAACCGGAAAAGGATTAAATGAATCTGTGGATATTGAGAACTGTGGAGGCGACCACAGGTTCCCCTGAACACATTTTCGTGTGAAACAACCTAGGTGGGAGTCTTTTTTCGGGATTCTTTTGACCTACAAAACAAATGACTTCCAACAATCAGTATTACAATACAAACGTTTCAGTAGTTGAAGCCTAAACCAAACAAAATAAAAGAGGAGCAATAAAACAAACGGCAAATAAGTATCGAACCCAAAACTAGTCCTTCATGTGGGAATCCGGTGGGGAACCGTCTCCCAAATAGTCGAAAAGGATGGAAATCGAACCGATATAAAATCGAAAGTAGAGTAAAACTGCAAATCATACCTTTCATGTCGGAAGGAGACTTTGATAGATGTCTAGACCGGCTCAAAACTCGAAGCTTCTGTGATTCAGTAACCAAAACGGCGAGAAGATGAATTTAGGGTTTGTCGCCGCCGAAGCCTTTGGGAGAGAAGGAGAGAATACGAAAAGA